CCTTAAGAAAAACAAAGGTTAATATAATGTTACAAACATAAGGCTGAAGCAGTTAGTATATTAATAATTACGAATTGCGCCAAGACTCCCAATTTCGGCATCAGTTCGTTTAACAGGAAGACATTTCTCCATTATTTCTGAGGTGATCGAACCAATAAAGATTTCGTGGTGTGCTGATGGAAGTTCATTAATGATGATTTTACAATCGACCCATTCCCAAAAAGCACGGATGTTAAAATTATCTGTGCGTTCTTCGTATTCCTCTAATGTGATTCCCTCAGCAATAATGTAGGGGAGCCTTATGTAATCAGCGAAAATTAGTTTATATGAGTCGCTAATTCATAAACAATTATGATGATAGAACTTACTTGGCCTCTTCCCATTTTGCTTGTGGGTGTATGTTGCCCTCTTCCCACCATAATCGGCGGAGCTTTCTTAATTCTTCGTCTTCAATAGGCTTATGAACAGCAGAAGTGCTACCCTTACAGAAGAATTCTTTGTTAGCCATAAATTAATTGCGAAGTATCAGTTGTCAATATTTATTTACCTTTTATTAGAGGTAATAGAGCTTGTGGAAGTAGCGAGGGTAGTGGAGGTAGTGGAGGTAGTGACGCTCTCTACGTTAAATGAACTGCTATTATCCTACCCTCAAGGGATTTTAAACGAAGTAAAACATTACATACCACTGGTTTCTGGACCGTTATTTTTCCTAATTCTTCTAACATTATAAGAGCTAGAGTAGTAATCGCCATAAAAAGAGGTTGACATCTTTAGTTATTTTGCGAGTATGTGGGAAAACTTTTGAAAGAACAATCAATTAATATATCATTTCTCATACCCTTTTAATAATCGATAATTGATTTAGCGGAGTTTAAAAAAAAAGTATCGTATATTATCAGTTAATTCCTGGTTATAGTGGTTATAGTAGGAGTCATTTCCAGGTACCATCGAAAAAATAATGGTGGCTTAGTTGCTTTTTTTTTCCTTCTCAAATTCAAGATCTGATTAGCCGATCATCTCGTCTCGTGACTTAAGTTGCCAGAGTGATACAATGAAGATCATAATTTAGTCGTCATAGACGTCGTCCAAAATGAATCTGATTTTATTATAATATACTTGTTATAACGATAAATATTCGCTAAAAACGCTATAAATCACTAAATTGTCATAATTCACCTAAACACTTGTAAATATGGATTTAGATAATAAAACCTATTATATGCTTTCAGTTGGAATTAATAATGCAAACTTTGTAGAATATATAAGATTATTATATGGGTGTGTTTCTAGCAAAATCAAGGTATGGATCATATGATTTATGATTTACTATATTTCAACTTGATTTTACTGAAAATGTTCCCATATGCATTATCTCTTTTAAGAGATATTTATAATCATAAAACATTAGAAATGTAATGCTCTCGTATTCGTGATCCATTTAGGAAAATACTTAAAGAAAACCCAAGAATCTTTTCTAAGAAATGATATATTAGTATATGTGGAAAGTTGTATGAAAGTGGTAAAAAGTCTCACTTTAACAGAATAGAAACAAATTATATATTGTAGCGTATGTGACTCACTAGTATTCATACCTCAAAAAATTTTAGAATTTTCTTACAATCAAGATAATCACTAAAAAGATGTATTACTGAAAATACTATTTCAAATGAACATGCAAAAAAAAAGAAATTCTTCAATCTATTGATGATAGGAAATTTATCATCTGACAATATAAATTAAAGAAAGAAAATAATCTGAAATATCACTTAGAGAAGGATAAATTGGCATTAGTATCATATGATAATTATACAAATGTCTATGGAACTTATATGCAAGTTAAATTGACTATAGCAAAAAATACTACAGTGAACTCTTGATATAACGAATTCTAGGATCTGGATATCAACTTCGTTATAAGCTTATAACGAATTTTTTAAAGAATTTAATTGGCTAGTTCACTATAGTAAGGTAATTTTAATATATTTGATTTAAAAATTCGCTATATCAAGAGTTCGCTATATCAAGGTTTAACTGTATACCTAATACTTCAAATTTTAAGCTAGTTTGTGTTTCACCTACTAGGAAAAAATGGTTTCACTAACTTCTTCAATTATTGGATTTCTAAAGGAAGCATAAGCAAAATATTTATCTCATCTCAATATATAAACAAAATAACTTGCTATTATCCATAAATCATCTTAATCAGTCAAAAAGTATTACATGAACATTGAGAAATAGAATAAAAATCATGATTATTGAGATTATTGATTGAGAAATGTTTAAATATAGACTATTATTTTCTTGATATATAGAAGATGATTAGTAGAAAAGGGAGAAATCTGAAAATTTTAGTAATTTTAGTTACTAAGCTAATTTTGTTCACATGACTATGATCAGTGAAGTAAACTAATTAAAAATTTTTTGACCAAAATTTGGATTTCTTCCTTTTCTACTGACTGCCTCTCATATATCTTTATTTACATAATTTATTTTTTATGAAGTCACATAATTTTATTTTCATACAATTTCTTGATTAAGTTCCTGAATATTATCATAAAAAATAGGTCTTAGCCACGAAGTATATTTGTCTAATGGCTTACAGCTAATACAATTATCTGCTTGTATGATAAAATAATTTCACACAAATCAATTCTTTTATTTTTTGCATAGATTGCTTACTAAATATATCACCTGCAGGTTTATACAAAATAGGTAAAATATTACAATTTGCCTATTTTAGATTAGATACTTTAATCTATAATAAAGTTCTTTTTAAGGAATTTAGGAAGTTTAATGAAACAATTATAGGGATCCTTGATTTCTAAATACCATGTGAAGTATCTTATAGCTAATTATAGCTTTGAAAATTTTTATATAACAGTTATTTCAATAAAATTGAAAATTACAAAAAGAGATTTAAATTTTTGGTAAAATAAATTTAGGAGGTAGTGAAAATGATGGTACTTCTAACAGGTAAAAGTATTTAAGTAATATTCTTTAAGGTGAGGCTTATTATTATATTAATGGAAAACTCATAAAATTTAATTAAATAAGTGATTATTTAACATGCTATATAATCATACCCTTTATTCTCCTATAACTTTGGTAGAAGAGAATAAAATCAATTATTATATTAATTAGGTTGGATATTCTTTGATTATGCTAGAAAAATATTACAATAAAAAGATTATATACTAATTTGATATATCAAAATAAAATAGGTATAGAATTCTGAATATTATTTGATACTAAAAAAATACTGTTAGTATACTAGTAGTCAGAATAAAACTGTTGGTATAACTTAATTTGCAGATTGATATTCTACCTAGTAGTAATTAATGGTATAGAGATAGAGTATTTCAAGAACGTTCTCAAGAAATGTTTTTCAATATCATATCTAGTATTATTTTATAGATATAGAGCTAATCTGTAAAATGTATTACTTGCAGAAGAAAAGCTATCTATAAATTTTTTAAAATATGATCGATAAATCAAAAATAATTCTATTAAATAAGATTTTCTATAATATAATACATATTTTTGATTTTTGTTAAAGTTTGTGAAGTGCATATATGATGTAATATATATACACTGTAATCTATGTGATTGCTTATGAGACCAAATAATTTCTAAGGGTGCAGACATATCAGTACCATAGGATTGTAATCCTTACATATAAGTTAATACAGCAATACAGTATTGCCATATGCTGTAACTAGTGTTATTTACCATAACTAATATTATTTGCTATAACTAGTGTTATCTGTCATAATTAATGTAATTTACCATAACTACTTGCTGTAACTAGCATAAAGTCTTGTAAAACTACAGATAAATTCTGTAAAAGTTCATACAACAGTAAGCATGTGAATTAGTATAAAAAGTAAATAGTTAAAAATATTGTTCAAATATATATAAAATAAAATGTAATTTTTTTTTAAATTCATGTTTTTTACTTAATGTATTTTTCATTTATCGCGTTCAAAAAATTAACTATAGAGGAAAATAGAAAGCACATTAGTGATACTGAAAATAACCTTTTTAAACGACAAAAAACAAACAAAAAAGATGATTCTAAAAGGAATGAAATATGGGAATACTTTATAATGAGCGATGAAAAAAATGATAGATACTATCCTGCAACTTGTTATCATTGTAAATGAAAATGACAAAAGGGTAAACTAAGAACTTTAAAAGCTCATCTTTCTAATAAATGTTTGCAATATCCTGAAGATATTAGGAAATATTGACAAGATAAGCTTTCTTTTGAATCAATAAATTATACTCGCAAATAGAAAACTCTATACTTTGGCTTAGATAAACCTTTACCACTAGCTATAACTGAATGAATTGACTGATCATTACTAAAAGCATGGGTAATGGTAAGAATTCCTTTTGAAATAATTGATAACCCTTTTATTCGTGATCTATTTCAAGATCTTAATCTGAGATATATCCCTTCATTAAGAACAATATTGTCTAGTTGATTATTAGACCAAGAAGTTGCTTAGGTTTCTTAGAACATTGAAAAAGAGTTGGAAATCTCAGACCATTTAACATTAAATAAGAATCAGAGTTTTAATATTAAAAAAATTGTATTTATTTATTAAAAATTTATTATATGTAATTATGATATGTAATTTTATTTTTATTTTTATATTTAATAAACTTTAATATTTGATAAAATGTTATATTTATAATATTTTAATTAATTGTTATATTATTTTTATTAGCATTGGATGGGTGAACATCAAAGAAAAATGACTTATTATATAATTATATTATATAAACTCCTGCACGAAAAGAATATTTGATTGCATTAAAAGATTACTCAGCTAAATTTTATATTGGTTTAATGCTTGGTAATGAAATTTCAGTTATTATAAAACAAATTAGTTCAGAAAAATTTGTAGCAGTAGTTATTAATGTAGCATCTGCATGTCATGTAGTATGAGAAATAACAGAGGAAATGTTCCTCATATTTGAGATATTAGATACACTGCACATACTATCAATTTGATAGCAGCAGATCTTGTAAAACTTGATAAAATTAAAAAACTTATAGCAGATTGTGGTAAAATTACAAAATATTTTCATACATCTCATCAAGCCTGTTATACTTTACGTCAAGGTTTAGTTCAAATGAAAATAAAATTGGAAGGATTATAAACATAGGTGAAAACTAGATAGGAATCATTGTTCATGATAACAGATTCTATTTTGCGTATGCGTCCTGTTTTTGATTGGGTAAATATATATTTATAATTAATAAAATATATATTATTATTAATTATTAAAATAATAATAAATATTTATTATTATTAGATAATTAATGAGCATTAAAGTATTATTTCAAATAGAGATGTACATAATTTATTAGAGAATAAAGAATTTTTTATTACATGTCAGCATATTCATTCAATTTGGGCTTCTATTAAAAAATGTATTAATATACTTGAATCAAATACAGTAACCTTGACTGATTGCTTTGTTCATATGATCAAATTGACAGTAGCAATATATTGATTATCTAATATAAATCCGTTTAAGATTCCAGTAATATATATATTTAATAATTATTATCTTAAATTTCAACTTCCAGCATATTTACTTTGTTATTTTAAATATCTATTATATAGAGATTTGTATAATTTAAAAATTATTATAAAATAAAATTATTTTAAAAATTATTATTAATATTAATTTAATTAATTAAATAAGTCGTGAATTATGTAATAAAGGATTTAGAGAAGCTGCATTAATTGCAA